GGGCATGTTTAGCCTGGAGAAGAGGAGGTTAAGGGGTGATATGATAGCCATGTTCAAATATATAAAAGGATGTCACATAGAGGAGGGAGAAAGGTTGTTTTCTGCTGCTCCAGAGAAGTGGACACGGAGCAATGGATCCAAACTACAAGAAAGAAGATTCCACCTAAACATTAGGAAGAACTTCCTGACAGTAAGAGCTGTTCGGCAGTGGAATTTGCTGCCAAGGAGTGTGGTGGAGTCTCCTTCTTTGGAGGTCTTTAAGCAGAGGCTTGACAACCATATGTCAGGAGTGCTCTGATGGTGTTTCCTGCTTGGCAGGGGGTTGGACTTGATGGCCCTTGTGGTCTCTTCCAACTCTATGATTCTATGATTCTATGATGGTGTTTCCTCTGATGGTGTTTCCTGCTTGGCAGGGGGTTGGACTCGATGCCCCTTGTGGTCTCTTCCAACTCTATGATTCTATGATTCTATGATTCTTGCTCGCTGGCCAGGCTTGCTGGGGCTGATGGCATCTGGTGGTCACAAGTTCTGCATCCTTGCCATGGTCACAAGCCTCAGGGCTCACCACTCAGTTCTTGACAGCTGCAGTTTTCAGCCTTTGCTATCTTCCGGACACATCAGGTGGTTGTGTGCATGATTCATCCACATGCTAGGGGGGCCACTAGGGGGCGCATTGGAAGATGGCTGACAATACCATCTCTCCGACCCACACGGGGTAATTAAGAGGCTGTTATGGGAGTAGGCAGCCTCCCTTGTTGCCCCAAGGAAATGGGGAACACTGCCCTTGCCTGCTGTGCCCATAAATCACCCCCTAATTTGAAAGAAGGGGGTGAGGGCCCTAGGCAGAATGCCCCCATGTGGACCTCGGCTCTCCTGGACGCTGTCTCTGATCGTGCACTAGTTGCAGCAATCTGGAATAATTAATTACAAAAGAAGCAAATGCACATATTTCAAGTGAAGAAGGGGAGTGAAGTCTGCTAATTTAAGTGACCTCTGCGAAAGAAGACGACGGGCTGGAGAAACAGGAATATTTTATGATGAAGATACACCAAAGGCGGGGTATGTTGACAACGGGGCTGAATGGGGGGGGGGGGACCTTTACTTTCCTTCTATGTGATTTACAAGAACCCCTCCTCATTAGAACCGTCAGTTGAACTGACCCAAGCAGGATGATTAAGGTCTGTGTGGAGATAAACTTTAACCAAAAGTATGCTTTATGGAGACCGAGAAGCAATAAGAGCTTTTGGGAATGGCGCAGCAATTAATTCGGAGTCGCCATCTTGCCAAAGGATTTATAGCTGGAAGGAAGAATGGACTTGTTTTCAGACTGCATTCCTAGTGAATCTCCTCAGAGGTTTTGAGAAAGGAGGCAGATTGGTGAAGATTAATGACGCTAAGACTGTTTTGATGTATGGAAGTGATGTTATATGGAAAACGTCTGGATATGGCTACTGGATAAAAAAAATAATATCCACGCAGGATTACAAAATGTTCTAACCAGCTTTTGGAGACTATCAGAGGTCACAAAGAGAAAGGAAAAATATATGAAAATAACAACAAGAGATGTGGAAAAATAATAAGAAAGGACTGGATAGTACTGTGAACATCATAAGGTTAGATTTGTGGACATTAAAACAGCAGTAAGAAGCAAGAAGTTGATTGGATCCCTTCGGAACTTGAAATATGGGTACCCCCAACAAAAATTTAAAATTCGGCTGTGTAATTTGGAATTTATGTAATTTGGTTTGATTTGATGTGATTGGTCGGTTAATAAAAATTATTCTTAAAAAAAAAAAAAAAGATTCATCCACATTCTAAGCTCACACACCAGCTTTTGGTACACCTCTGTGTTTGCTAAGCCCAGCTGAGTGCAAGGTAGCAGCATGCAACACATCACTGCAGGCTGATGTGCCTGGAAGTCATCATGGAGGTAGATGGAAACTGTAGATGCCACGGGCTACAGCTGCCATGGAGAAGGTCAGGAGAACAGGTCTTCAGAGGAGGAGGAAAAACCCCTTAACATTTGAACTATCAAGAGTGGCAGGATGCCTTATATAGCAAAGCTAAGCAGATGCCGGGAAACAGCCAACACCCTCCGATCCACTAGCTAGCTTGGAGAGATAAAAGTCTGGCAAGTTCTGGCCATGGGCAATTTATTAGTTTCTTGTTAAAGAGCCTAATAAATTTCATACTGCCTGCATGCCATTTTTAGAATTTGAAAAAGGGGGAGGGCGGACAAATGAATGGATGATGTAGCAAAAAGGTTAGCCAGACAGAAATGGTTTTGTGTAACAAAGAATTGCACTAAGGATGGATATGTGCTTCAATTTGTATTATAATTTTCAAAGTTTGCATATTACATTCATTATAGATCAAATCCTTGAAGAATTCTGTTGGCAAGGACCTCATTTTGATCTAATGAGACATATGCTGGTAGACCGTGTTTTATCATATATATATCGATATAGACAGAGATAGATATAGAAGTGGATACCTATAAAATGTAAAGGTTGTCTTTCAGTGTTAATCCTTAAAAAACCCCCCAAAAACCCCTTACAGGCACATGATATATTTGCATGAGTTTTGCATGCTCACTTTCTTTTCTAATGCATGTTGGTCCCCACAATGGATGAAGATGCTTGGTGGAGCCTTGCAGTGGCTGAAGGTGGAAGCTTTCCCCTTGTCTTGCCTCATTCTCTGACATACAGGGGTGGTAACGTTCACGTATTTTTTTGGAGTCATAAGCATTACTGAGATAATGTACAAGTATTCCGAATGCTTCGAAAGAGCCACATAAACGCTATGGGGATGAGCAAGTTCCTCCACTGCTGAAATTCCTCCCGCAATCAGTAGCTTGCAGGGAGAGTTCTTGTGGTGTTTGCAAGAGCACTGAGCATGACTCACTGTGAGCAAAGCGAGAGGGCACAGATCGGACCTTAAGTATATATTGCTATTCCACCTGTTATTAAAGTTCAGAGGTGAGTATGGACTCTTATGTAGTCCAAACGGCACCACAGACCACATACAAGAGGAAATTACTAGCAGGTTCTTGAAAAATCACAAAAACTATACAGTGGTACCTCAGGTTAAGAACTTAATTCATTCTGGAGGTTCGTTCTTAACCTGAAACTGTTCTTAACCTGAGGTACCACTTTAGCTAATGAGGCCCCCCACTGCCGCCACGCGATTTCCATTCTCATCCTGAAGCAAAGTTCTTTACCCGAGGTACAATTTCTGGATTAGCGGAGTCTGTAACCTGAAGCGCCTGTAACCCGAGGTACCACTGTATTTTGTGGTTGCAGGGACAACGCAAAAAACAGCCCAATGAATTCTAAACATGCTCAGTGGTTACAGACTACTGGCTGATTGTGGTGGGTAAAGGTAAAGGGACCCCTGACCATTAGGTCCAGTTGTGACCGACTCTAGGGTTGTGGCGCTCATCTTGCTTTATTGGCTGAGGGAGCTGGCGTACAGCTTCCGGGTCATGCGGCCAGCATGACAAAGCCGCTTCTGGCGAACCAGAGCAGCAGATGGAAACGCTGTTTACCTTCCCACCGGAGCGGTACCTATTTATCAACTTGCACTTTGACGTGCTTTCAAACTGCTAGGTTGGCAGGAACAGGGACCGAGCGACGGGAGCTCACCCCGTCGCGGGGATTCAAACTGCCAACCTTCTGATCGGCAAGTCCTAGGCTCTGTGGTTTAACCCACAGCGCTACCCGCGTCCCTGATTGTGGTGGGTAGGTGGGGGTAAAATGGAATGTAGAATTCTGAAAGAGGGCAAGGCTGGCTGGCTAGGACACTGAGCAAACTTCATCTTTTGTTATGTAAGGCTCTGAATCTCAGGGTTGTGGGTAAAAGATTCCTGGTTGTACCAGATGACCCTTCCAACTCTACAATTCTACGATTCTATATATTATTATTTCTAAGAATACTTCTTTCAGAATCAAGCCACTGAAAGTCAACTGTGATACTGGCATATGTGTTACCAGAAATGACCCCCTCGTATTTTGTGGGTTAGCTCCTCTGAGAGGAGCCAGCCTTTTCTCTGTGGCTTTCTTGGGGATTTCCTCATTGAACAAAATTGCATATTATATGAAACCACAGTTCTGAAGCGCTACAAACCCAATTGTTCCCTCTCAGCACTGTAGGCTTCATTAGCAGAAAGCAATATTTTTAGCTTAAGTCACAGGAAACAATTTCAGATTGCGGGGGCACATTTTCAAGGAAAGAAGAATGCATCGCAAGTTTCTAGTGTTCCAGCCCTGTACGCCATAAAATTAATCCAAGGAGAAAGCAGGCTTGAGATGGTCACCAAGTCCTTAATTCTAGGCACTCGTTCAAGCATGCATGCAAACATCAGCTCTGTTTCAGATTCCTCATACCAGTGCCTGAGAAAACGCTGGATTTTTTTCCAGATTTGTCAGAAATATTTAGAATTATTAATAGAATCATGGCACCTAGTGGTTTGCCAGTTCATGCAGGTTCAACAAGCCTTTAAAACAGAATTGTCCTTAGGGGTCATATTGCTTAAGAAGTAAAACAACCACCACCCAGCATGGCATTTAAGGGTGAGGTAAGAAAGAACCAACATTAGCAAACAGAGTAAAACATAAAATACAAAACTTATAAGTCTTCATATAAGTGTGAAAAGGCTACAGAACAGGACCCTGGATTTCACTGATCCCTAATCCACTGCAATCATGCCCATGGGACAAGACATCCATGAACCTCACAATACCATATGTCCTTTAACTCACTTTCAGAGGCTCACCCCTGACCTACCATTCCTCATTGGCATTATAGAATAGATCGATTTTATTTGTGTGTGGCGCAAAGGCTATTTAAAAACATAGGAGCAGTACAGATACTTACAGCCACAAATTAGCAGCAGATAGGGTCTCCTGCTAGGACAGACACCAGAGAAGCCAGGACAAAATATAGCACTGATAATATACAACACTAATAATAATCAATACAAACGAAGATTAACAACAACGGCCTGGATAGCTCCGTTGGTTAGAGCGTGGTGCCGACAACGCCAAGGTTGCAGGTTTGATCCCCGTATAGGACAACTGCATATTCCTGCATGGCAGGGCATTGGACTAGATCAGGGGTCTGCAACCCACGGCTCCCGAGCCGCATGTGGCTCTTTTACACCTTTGCCGCGGCTCTGGGGCGGATACTAGCGAGGGGAGGAGGCGCATTGTGTGCCCCGACACTCCCCACTGTGGTGGGCGCTGTACTGGTTGTGACGTCGCATGGGGGCGGTGCGTGCGTTAGTCACGCACCGTCCCAACGTCACCTTCCCGTCCGCTACATTGTAAGGGGCATGTACGCTGGTCACTGCATTGAAAGGGGGCATGTACGCTGGTCACTGTTTTGAAGGGGAGTGAAGAACACACACACACAAAAGGTAACTTGTTAATTTAACGTTTATTTCTATAAGGAGGAGTAATTCTGAGGGGTCAAACAAAGAAATAATAAAAAAGTGACAAAAAAGTTATTTTTATAATGACGAGTTTTGCGGCTCCCAGTTTTTTTTCCCTTCAGAAACGGGTCCAAGTGGCTCTTTTTGTCTTAAAGGTTGCAGACCCTTGGACTAGATGATCCTCAGGGTCCCTTCCAACTCCATGGTTCTATGATATAGAGCAAGTTACTATTTTAGATGGTCCTATCTGCAGTCCATGATGGAAATCTTTAGGAAGTTACCATGATTTTTTTGAGCTGCTACTGCACAGGTGGCCACCTTGCAGATGATATCAGTCAGGGTCCCACCAGCTCTTGCTCTCATAAGGTCTGCCAAAAAACGAGTCCTGAGATCTCTATGCAAAGGGCAATGCAAAAGGTAACGCAAGGCACCTTCCACCTTCCCAAGGCCACAAACACCTGTCAGATGTGCACAGAGAATCCCTTTATACTTTCCCTCCCGGAAGACATTGTTTGGAAATGAAGGACAGTGAAAGCTTTTCTAAGGGTAACAAAAGTTAGGTCTTGAAAGTACTGTTGAAAACACTGGCCTCTCTTTAATAAACTCAACCAAGGGGAAAACACTTGGCAAGAACATTTTCACGAGAACCTTTGTAGGGATATCGCGGAGTGGACAGTGAGGTCCAGAGGGAACACACTTCCCCACCAGCAGGCAGCCATGGTCTGCCTGCACGCGTGACCTTGGGGTGCAGGGCAAACTCCCCCTCAGACAAGCCACGGCTGTCAGAAAATCGTCCCCCATGTCTGACCTTTTGCGGTCTCAGCAGTCTGCGGTGTCCTGTCTGTAACCTTTTGTCCCTGAGACCTTTTGTCTCCTTCATCATACACTGTGCAAGGGGAAAATGACGCTGTGCCAAAATAACTTTGTACCACCCCACGATCTCGGGACGGAAGATGTGTAAAGGTCACAGCCCAAAATGTATCTGCCTAGCTTGCATATTTGTCTCAATAAAAAGAGGCTCCACAGGAATGGCAGCAGCTCGCTTCAGACCACCTGTGCGCAGCTCACATGATGATCAACTCCTGTCTTGGGCCTTCACTTCAAACCTTCCTCAAAATACTATGGAGGTCACTGGCGTAACATAGTTTTGTACCCTGCCAAGGAGGAAACACAACCATTCCTAAGTCAGGTAAAGAGGGGTAGAGCACCAGAGAGGAAGTTAGTTTGCACACAGAATAGGATCGTTCTAGAAAAGAAAGAAAACACACACCAAAACTGTAAGATACACAGGCTGCAACCCAGAAAACTGGTCAAAACTGTGATCCTTTGACTGGATGCGGCTTGAGACTGGCACATCAATTCTATGTGTGTGCGAGTGTGAGCACACACACAAACATGTGGTGGAGAAGACACCTGTGTGTGGGTATGTAGTTAGAGGTTCATTCCTCAGATGAGTTTTTCTCTGCTGGATATAAACCTGGCACCCAATCCTGCACTGCACTCTGCCCACACATTCAGAATCTATTCAGCTGTCAAGGCAAGACAGAAACCAGGTGATATTCATTTGACAGAGTAGGAGTAAAAATCCGGTGAGCCCAGAGCTGGGGAGGGAAACCTGATGTACTGCCCAGATTCTGACACTGACGCCAAAGCTTTTTTCTGACTGGAGGCTTAATGAGAAGAGAAAGTCCATATAGGCCCTTCGAGGGGTTCATCTATCGGCTCAGCACTTGAAATGGAAAGAAAAGGGGCCCCACCTAGTCGTTCGCCTCATCTCACCTCACACTTTCCATTTCTTCTGCTAGGGAACACTGGAAAAGGATTGGGGCTGTTGAAAAGAACTTGTTTAACCTCGGAGGATTCGATTCACAATACTGAGACCCACACACTACCCCTAAAGCACTTTTAAAGCACCTCTTGTGTTCCCCTCTTATAGAGCTACACACTACAGTACCCATGATTCATTGGGGGAAGTCATGTGCTTTAAACGTGCATTTGATGAGTTTAAAATGTATGGTATGGATCTGCCCTCTTTTTGCAGGCTTAGAGCATCCCCACTTGAGACAGGGACACTATTGGGAATAAGTTCAGGACAGGAGGAAAAATGGGGTGGTGTAGCCTGAAAAATACTCTGTGTGTGTGTGTGTGTGTGTGTGTGTGTGTGTGCTTGAGATTGCAAGGACTCCAACAGAAAGGGTGTGATAACTTGGGTGGGTTGGGAGAAATGCTTTGGTGATCATTATTTAAGGGATTCATCCCCTGCCCTTCAGCAAGTTCCCCAGGGTGCCTTAACGAAGAATTAAAATGATTGAGAAACTACCACAAAACCAAAACATTAAAACAATGCAGTTCAGAAGAGCGACATAAAACCATCCAGGAAAGCTAAAGGAAAACAGCACCAAAAAGTTATCAGCAGAGATTAAACGGGTCAAATCCCAAGGCTACGGTGCTTGCCTGCTACGGGTAATGTTACAGCTGTGCTGGGCTCCCTGGTGGTCTTTGAGATGAGCACATGCTAGTGCAGCTAAACCATGGAATTGCCAGGATCTTGTGGAAACTGTCCTCTGAGCCATTGAATGCGACTTCAGCTTTTGCGCGCAAGATGCCCAGGACTGGCAAAACGTGCAGGACTTCTGCACCCTGGCAACGAGGAGTAAGTTATTCTGCAAGCAGCAGCCCCTGATGCTCCATAGATCTTCTTGCTGCTGCTCCATCTCAGGGAAAAGGGGTGGGGTGAGAAAATCAATGGGTAATAACAACTCAATTAATCACACGGGGTGTGGCAGTGGATGGGGATGGGGGTAAATTGATTAGGATCCTCAATAAGGTCGGTGTGGCTGTCTACTCTGAGGGCAGGGCCTCTTCATCATCACGAGAGGTGTTGACGAGTGAGGGGCTGTGATTTTAGTGCCATTTGCAATTGCAACCGTGAAAGAACAGGAGCTGTGCCTCTTCCCTTAAAAGTGAATAAAGATCTCTGTTCCCCAACACACTCCTTGCAGTGCACCTACCATCAGACCAATGGCTGCACAATAACTCCTTTCGATTGGGGTGGGTGGGAATACAGACCTTGTGCATTTGCCCGAGATACCTTACTACGCATACAAATATGCTACAGTGCACAGCAAAAGGAAAGCATGCAGGGCTGTATGTATGTGTGGTTGTTTTGTGGGCTTGATGGGACCCGTGTGCCAGATTTCTCATCAGCTTCATTGTTCTGTTTCCCACAGAGACTGGCTCTGGGTCTGCACTCAGCAATATAAGGAAACTGCACAGGGTGAAAATTCTGGTTGTCCTAATAAAGGTATTTCTCTAATATGTGTTTTGGAATACTGCAAAGCTGTATCACAGAAGACTCGAGTCATAACATTTTGCAGCTAATAGACTTGTGAGTCTGGCACTGGTAAAACAGTTCCAGAAAGCGCTGAGAAGGCAAAAGTGATTAGGGAAAAAATGATATTAAGGAATGCGTATTTCAGAAACAGGCAGATTATAAAAATGCACGATGCAAGGCAGCCAGCAAGGGATTTTTTCCCCACAGTGCGATCCCTGAGGAGTCCAGCAAAACAACAACAGTATTTCCAGTAATTTTCTCCACAGGTGAGGGAAGAGCCATTCCACAGTGACTGACCAAAAAAAAATCTAGTTTGTAGAATTTCCTTCACAACATTTTGAGGCAGCAAGCAATACACCCTCAAACGAATCTGGATGCAAATAATGATTTTATTTTTATTTTTTAATCTTACATGTATGTTTTTAGTGGGGGGCAGAGTAAGAAAGCATACAAAACTCTAAACCAGAAAAATTTGATTCTGAAATTCTATGAAGTCACGTAGATTAATAATATTTACACACATGAGCAAAGAAATATAAATCTACACCATAGTTTAGAGATGACATCTTTTAATCTCAAATCCATAAACCCTGCCTGCTATAACTGTGCACTTATATGATTCTGCACAAGAGAAACAGGCAAAACTAGGGACCTGGTGCAAGCTTCAGCATCCTGTGCATCTCAGTTTTTAGTTTTAATCAAGTTTCTAGACCTTATTATAGCTGTGAAAACAGGCTTGAGAACGAAATGAAACCTGGTTAAATCTGAGAAGCTATAGTAGGGCTAAACACGGTTTCCTTCGGCCAGGAGGGCACTTGAGTTCTCTGCTTCTCTCCAATTGAATTTCCTTTTAGAAAATGGAAGCCACCATTCTCAAGATGTTAGTAGCCTGTTGTTTTTTGATCACACCTAGATATGGGTGACAAAAATGCACCAGCACCTGCTCTCCCTGACTACTGACATCACAGTATTTCTGGCAGAAAAGTGATGGCTGGGAAAGCCCATGGAGGAACCTGAGATTTACGGAATTATTTCAAGAAGAAGCTTGGTGTGAGCAGAAACCCCAGGCCCCAGACTCCCAGGTTTGCTGCCCATCTCATTTACATGCAGCCAACAGAACTCAGTAATTTGATCTTCATCTTTGGCAGCACCACCACTTACCATGTGCCTGTATCAGGGGCAGTCAATGCTATGCACTCTACATGTTGTAGACTACAACTCTCAACAGGGCCAGCCAATAATGGTCAGAGATGATGGGAGTTGTAGTCTAAGAACATCTGGAGGTTTCCATGTTGGCTACCCCTGCTCT